TTCTCGGGTCTTGGCATTGCTCAAATGTGAAAGCCAACTGATGAGTCCTGTGAGCTAGGACGAAACCCAAGAATGCATAATGCTATGCAAGTAGACACAAAATTTTATTATCGCGTTAGGACAGTTCAATCATTGAAGCACCGTTTCTTAGAAGCTATTTTAATGCGGCTTCTTCCTGTCTTCTTTACGCAATGTAGCACCTTTTTCACTCATAAATATTGGAGGCATAGCACCTAAAGAATCGATTTCGATAGACATGGGTTGAGCGTGAGGTAAATTCGCGATAAACGAGATAAATCGTTTAGTGACGAGAACAATTTGTACAAGGTATTTTTATGGCGCCTCATTGATTTTTATTTCTAAATGACATTCTAATAAATAAATGATCAATAATGAAAAGTTGGAAAGAACAACTTGACACGGCCTCAAAAGACTACGATTATTTCCGCGACCTTTTAAAATAAGAACTTACGCAATTTTTCGAATATCGTACCCAATTCATTGAACCTATTTTCGAGGAATTCTATCACATGCAACTGAAAATCTATGGTCTTTTGCTGGATCGGATGGACCGTTTAGTGGATACCGGATACTTTGATGTGAACTCTGATTTCATGAACGGGTTTGATGAGAGACGTGGGGATATTCAGGAAAAGGTGAAAGTATTGACGCTGCTTGGACGACGAGCAAAATATGAGGAACGACGTAATGTGGTAATAGTGGTAAGAGGGTTAGGAGGTAATTGCATATTTTATGTATTTAAAATAGCTTGCGTTTTAATTGATATTTTGCTTCGTTTTTGCGAGCAGACTTACAAGTTGAACGCTCATCAGGCAGTTCGAAAATACGTATAGACAGTCAGCACAGAATTAGTAGACGAGATAGAAGAATACAACCACGAAGACGACGTGCCATCGCCGTACACAGCTTCGCCTACTAATTATCCATCAAGAGGCATAAATAACAACAATGAAAAGTAGTACTACCACTAGCAGAGTTACCAGTCTTCATAACAATTTTAACAATAATGATAACAATAGTAGCTAGCAATGCAAAGTCAGCATCCGCCGCAACTATCAAGCCCAAAAAACTACCGCCGCCACGTCCCCCCCCCCCATAAAACCAACCATCAAATACGAGATAGCACTGCATGATTACGATGCATAGGCAGATGGCGATTTGACTTTTAAAAAAAGGATGACCGTCATTCAGTTGGTTACGGGGAGACTTAATGGTATGTTTGGCGTGTAATTATTTTTCATTATTATTTGTAATTTGTTGTTATTTCTAAATCTAATTTATAAATTATGTTGAAGAACTTTGAACAAAGCAAATAACATCTGGTATTTGTAAATGTAATCAATCAAACAACATTATACTTATTTTATAATAATTACAGTCAGATCTCTCTAAGTACAACTCGTCGAGACTATACAAAAACTTGCACTGAGAGAGGTATTGCATTTATGGAGGTAAAAATACATATATATCTTATAAGTTGGGGCCAAATTTAGAGAATAATTGCACTTAAAGGGGTTGCACTTAGGGAGGTATGACTGATTCAGTTTTATATATTTCATTTTTATCTTTATTTTTATAATTAAATTTTTATTACTTCATATTATTAATTAACAAATATACATGATTTTGATATATAAATTATATAAATATATTGCTACAGTTACTTTAAATGAAGAATTTCTTTACTATTAGTAAAAGAGTCATATGAGTTGGGAGAGAGAAATAGACTAATAAAATTGGTCAGTGCAAAAATAAGTATTTAAGCCTGTGCCAATTTTGATAGAAATTGTTAAACAATTCTATCAAAGATGAAAAGAGAGGTTGGAAGAGTGTGTTCAGAGAGGTAATTGATAAAAAGAGGTTGCTAACTAAAGAAAAAAGTATTGATATTTCTATACTTGTAGTTGTATGTTCTAGTGCTTTCAATACCAAAGAAAATGAATAATTAAAAGAAATATCACTTATTTAGAGTTGCGATGCACAACTATACAAATTAATATCACTTATTTAAAGTTGCAGTGCACAACTATGCCAAAAATAATGCTATAGCAAATCAATATACTTATCCAAAAATACTTAACCATCTTTTTCAAATTCAAAGACAAAAGTAATAATCGAAAATTCAATTCTACACAAATTAATATTCAATTTCTTGATCTCGTTCAAGATTTACAAAAAGTGACTTGAATTACAATTAACAAATTATTTTTTGCCAGGCAACTTGTTTCGACAGAAGAAAATACAAGGATAAATATTAATTTTATAACAATAAGACAGTCATTAACTTATTGTAGCAAGATTAAAATTTATTAATTTGTTTTAGCATTGAAACATGAGAGTATATATAGAGACAGCACTCCTATTTATACAAAATTTCTCAATACATTTAGTTATTTCTATATTACAAATTATAAAATAATATATAAAAGGTAGAAAAAGTAAATAGAAAAAGTAAATAGAAAAAGTAAATAGAAAAAGGTAGAAAGTAAGAGTAGTAAAGATAGAAAAGGTAAATAATAAAGATAGAAAAGGTAAATAATGAAGATAGAAAAAGTAAAAAAGGTAAATAATAAAGGTAGAAAAGATAGGAAAGATAAATAATAAAGGTAGAAAAGATAAATAATAGAGATAAAAAAGATAGAAAAGATAGTTAATAAAGGTATAAAAAGTGAAAAGGTAGAAAATAAAGATATAAAAGATAAAAAAGGTAAATAAATTAGGTATAAAAGGTAGAAAAGATAGAAAATAAAGATAGAAAAAGTAAATAATAATAATAATTATATGATTATTAAATGATTAATATATATATACTATTTTTATTAATTTGTTGTTTTGTTACTATTTTTGAAGATTTTTATATTTTTTACTATTTTTGAAAGATTCATTAATTATAAAATTATTAAAAATAAATGTAATATTCGATCCATCTTCAAAGATTTTGTTTTACAAAATTTTAGAGATTCTTTCAGAATTTTTTAATTTTTTGATTCTTCATTTATCGAATTTGCATAATATTCAAAGGATTCTTTTGTTATTGAATCTGATTTTCATCATTAAATATCTTATAGATGTTTTGAACAATTGTGAAAGATTTTTCTTCAATATATATTCCAAGAGATTTACTGAGTTCACCTTTCAATTTATATTGTTAAAGTTTGTATTTTTTTGGAGATTTGTTGATTAATTTTCCAATTTTATAATAAATAATTTTTCAGTATATACTCATCTAAATAATTTTTTGAGTTAATTTTTCCAAATTTCAGAGTCAAAAGATTTCTCTTTAGGTTTTTCTTGAGGTATTTCTTCAATAAGATTTTTTTTTGAGTTGATATAGAGGAAGATTCTTCTTCATTGTCATTACTTGTTAATTTATCTGTAAGAATACTTTCTTACGTGAAAAGTAATAAGACAAATTTATTAATTGTTGTAAATAAATTATATTAATTGAGATAGTTTTCAGTTTTAATTTTAATAAAGCTTATTTCTT